ATATATATATATATATATATATATATATATATATATATATATATATATATATATATATACATATATATACATATATGCGTATATAGACGTTAAATTCTGGCGAATATTCTTATGTGCAACAGGATTTAAAAATGTACGCATATTTAAATTTATTCTGGGATACATGTGAATTTACACTGAATGGCTGCTTTCAGATTGTGAGCTACTAAAAATGATGATGCTACATGATACTGCAATAAAGACTTTTTGGAAGTGATTATTGAAGTCTAGAGAATCTTGGATGCAAAAGACTCTTGCCAGAGATTCTAATGATGTTGTATACTGATAAGACATTGGATAAAGATACTTATTAAAATGTACATTTGCCTGGATAATATCTGCAGTCATATTTAATGTGTATATCCTCTATTGGTTAGTATTTATACATATGTATATATATATATATATCTTTTTAAATATCTTTTTAGTACCTTTTTGTGCGTAAAAAACAGACTGACTCATTTTTATGAATCATAGCTTTTTTTTTTACACTTTCAGTACACATTGTACTTGCAGTTTAAATGAGACAAGATGAATAACGAAAATATAGAAAATCAGCCGCCGCTTCAGGCCATTGAAGACATGGATCCTGCTTCAATGCAACCTGTATTCCCAGATACAAATACACCATGCGTGGATGTATGGATGGAGAAAATGAACAAAGGAGTGCTGACGACTATCAATTTTAGAGAATATTGGCGAGTCTGGGTACCAAAAATATATAGTCCTGAGCGTAATGGCAATTGTTTGGAATGGACTATCGACGACGAGACGGCGCAAAGAATGCTCCTCAAGACTCTAGAAGAATTTATGTGCGGCGGCGATCCGCAGATAGTTTTGAAAGAGCTCAGTAAGATGGATAATCCGCCATCTATATGTGGCAGAATGTTTAAAATGGGTGAACCGACCTACAGTTGCAGGCAATGCGGTATGGATTCAACTTGCGTCCTATGCGTAGACTGTTTCAAACAATCCGCACATCGGAATCACAAATACAAGATGGGCACGTCCAGTGGTGGCGGATGCTGTGACTGCGGCGACACGGAAGCTTGGAAAAGCGAACCGTTTTGCAAGATACATTTAGCAGGAACGCAGTCAAAGGATTCGCGTGGCAACAAACTACCCGGTGATATAGCGGAGAGAGCGGTGATGGTTTTCGAAGCGGTGTTGGAATATTGTTATGAACTGTTGACATTAAGATACACCGTCGCGCTGCCGTCGAATCTCTGCATCAGAGACACGGCATTTTACTCGCTCACGCTCGATCAATTAGACATTTTCGACACTTATTGCACTGTACTCTTCAACGATGAACATCACACCTTTGATCAAGTAATAACTATGCTCCAACGCGTTATTAAATGTTCGCAAAAGGAAGCTGTAGAGTTTGTGACTAACGTTGATAGAGAGGGTAGAGCTGTAGTGAAGTGTTCGGTATTTCGACACTGCAACGAACTGCGTGCCGATATTGAAAGATTTACGTATAGACACAGTAATCGACCGCTCAAGGTGCTGGTTCTTCACACTCACATAGTGGCTCATCAGACATTTGCCATGAGACTGCTCAATTGGCTGCAACAGTTTATAAGCCATTGCGAGGGCTTTCGCGTGCTGTTCAGCAACATTGCGCTCAATACGAAACTACCCGATACGTCGATCGTTGAGGGCATACTCACAAGGGATTCGCAGCTATGGAAATCTGCCAGAACAGCGTGGCATAGATTGTTTATATCTGGAATGCTCATGGAGTATGAGAGCAAGAAAGCGCTTGCGATCGTGTTCACTTATAATTATGGCTCCGTCATGAAGGATTTTATCAAAGATGATCACGATCACGCGTTTTCGATCGTCTCGCTCTCCGTTCAGCTATTTACTGTGCCGACTCTGGCGCATCTGCTCATCGCGCACCACGACGCACTGTTTATCTTATTAAACACGTTCGTCTCCGAG